AAGTAAACAAAATCCAATTAATAAATTAAATTTTTTAAAATGTATTCATATATTATTTATTTGATAGCTAAACTGTCTATTTACAGGTTTTTGGGCAATTGCCTCGTCTTCAAGATGGAAGTTTTGAGCTTTATCAAAGCAACAGTATTTTGCGATATTTGGGCAGGAAATACGGTAAGCCAAAATGCTAACATTGTGAGTTGCCTCTTCTCTCATACATTCTGTGGAATTTATACCTTTGTAGTTTAGTTGCAATAAGTGGGTACTCTAAAGATAGTATGTGGACTAACATTAAAATAATAAACCCTAAATAAATGACATTTAGCTTGCTAAAGCACTGTGCGTTATAAAAATTGCCATTTTACATTTATCTTTTGTTACATCTCAGTGCTGATCATCTCTGCTGGTCTCTCGTAGCGTCTTTGCAGCCTCTTCCGGTTACGTAGATACACTGCAGTGATGGCATTTCTTAGGAGAGGTTTCCTGATGGTGACAACAGTGGACCACACCTGTATGTTGAAATGACCACTTGTAGTCTCCATCAACCATGTGTGATAGGGTGACAATGCTGGACCACAATTAAGATACAGGGACAGAGCGTTGTCACCCCATAAGAGAAACTGCATGAAGAAGGACATTCATTGCAGGTATTATTTTAACAAAAGCTGCAGATTTAAAAATATTAAAAACGACTTTTGAAAATACATGGAAGAGGAACCCCATGGTGCTCCTTAAGCAGGTGTCATGATGTGCAACTATGCTATACAGCAGACTTATCTTCCTTCAGTTAAGCGAGGTCCATGTTCAGCCTCATCACACATGCACAGAGGAGTTACTTTTTCCCAGCTATTACGCCTAACAATTGCACACTGCACTGCTCATGGGCACCAGTGTGCAATGGTAAAAAATGTTTGCAGGGAGGAATGTTTTTGTTTGGCAGAAGAGCTTAAGTGGATCCTCACATATTGTGTTCTCAACTGGTGGGTCGTGACCCAAATGTGGGTCGCGACCCCATGTTCAGTGGGTAACCGCATGCCTTCCACTTTTCTAGGCAAGACAGGGCCGGATTAAGAGCAGCAAGGGCCTGGTGCTGAGGATTTCGGTGGGCCTTTTTATGGAAACGGCAACGTTCACCGGGGCCCTCTTCCTCCCGTCTGAGCTGTGATTTGTAGTCTCTCTATAGCAGAGGACCCTTTATTTTATGCAATATGGGAAAACAGCAATCCTTCAAATTACATGCTTAGCAGATGCAGCTTTTAAGCTGTATGAGGTGTAACCGAACAGTATGATTCTCTGAGAGCATCAGTGGCTGGCATCACATGATTTACATGTATACTATGACAGCATCAGCATCCCAATCTTAATTTCAACTTGAAAAAAAAGTATTTTTAGGTAATTGTATTTATTTGGGCGACCCCTGTTTTTTTAGATGGCAGTAATACACCATAATTGAGCAGTGCAAGTAGCAGACACCACAAAACATCTAAAAGCTATTGGAAGGTTTCCAGTAGCCCTCAAAGAGTGGCAGAACAGCTTCATAGCATAGCTTGCAGTCTTTGGATTGTTCAGTCATATGTCAACACAAAACACTTCTGAAACCACAAACATTCCAGAGATGGGGCAGGTGTTATGCTGAAATAAAAATTACAGAGTCATATGTTTAGAGACAATAGCCAGACTAGGGTTGCCACCTTTTCTTTCAGCGAAACCCGAACACTCTAGCGATGCACGGAAATTTTGGGGGGAGAATGAGCCGCGGCTTATTCATATGCAAATAGCGCCACCCATTCATATGTAAATATCGCAGTCAAGACTATTTTCCGTGGGGGGCCAGTAGCACCTATCTTAATTTTGGTTGCCCCTGTCTGCCTGACATCTTGTGTCCGGGTCTCAGCTGCCATTAGACCCGGACACAGCATTCAAAACCCGAACTGTCTGGGTGAATCCTGGACAGGTGGCAACCCTAAGCCAGACATATAGTAGGAGAGTCTGTGTAGAAAGGCAGCAGAGTATGTGAGTAGCTTAATTGGGCTGGAGTGTAAGAGGGAGAGACAAAGCAGTTTTTTTAATCAAGAAATAAAAATGAGAATTCATTATTTCACAGACGATATCCACTTTCCCAAACACTTTCTATTAATTTTCCCAAACACAAAACAAGAGTCCCATTCCAATTCTAGTGCCTGTGCTGATTCCTGTGATAGCTTGCCCCATCCCTCTGCATTCCTATGACCTCACTTGTATCTGTAAAATGCAGAGATGTAAGATAAGAGCTGCCAATCAATGTCTCCTTTGCAGAGTGTGGTCAGAATGAAGAGGAGTAAGCTGTCAGAGTCTGTATCACAATGTCTGCTGCACACAGAAGCATGGGATAAAAAGAAACATATACTGCTGGAGTTAGGTGACTGAGCTGTCCTTCTATGAAGCCCTTCTATGCCACCTGACTGCAGTGCAAAGGCAGAAATTGCATAGCTGGTAATTGGTTGATATGGTTTTGAACAATCCCATTACTTTGCTGACTTCCAGAACTGCCAACAGCTAGAGTTTGTGTCGATCTCATGGTCAACCCAAAGTTCATCCCTTGTAAAGAGTATATAGTAACTGAGTGAATGTCTACTGCCACCTAGTGTTGTAATCCTAGCACTGCACTTGAATATAAATGAGAATGTGAATGATAGAATCATACACTCCCAGAGAGATAAACACCGCAAGCTCTTTCCTTTTGCAATATAAATGTGAGACAGCATGGCCAAAAGATGCTGAGGAGCATAGAGAATTAATAAGGTAGAAGGGAAGGGAAGTACTGTTGTTCAGGTTAAGTTGGGTGTCTCCAATCTCTATGTAATAGAAACCAGCATTATTCTTGTAATAAAAAATAGTAATTACTGCTCTCTGTCCTTGTGTGGGGTTACTGGTCTTGCATCCACTCCCATCTGTAGTTTTCTGCAGACAGTCTGTAGTGGGAGGACCTGTTGGGTTCCTCCCAGAGCTCTGTTCACTGTACAAGTTATGTGCAGCACATTAAAGTGGTCACTGATGGCTTGATATGGTAATATCCGGATTTGCAAAGGTGTTTGGAGCACATAAATTGGATTTCTATTCTCTGTGCATATTGAGGAATTTATTTTAAAGAACATTTTTGTGCCCTAAGTTCTGCTTTAAATAGGACTTTAAAAAGCAGTTATGTGTAAAAAGCTACAGTCACTCATCAGAAATCACTTTCCACTTGCTCACTGTTGTAAGGCTAATGGAAGTTGATTTCTGCTTAGGTGTTATCGGTTACTGCATATAACTTCCCCACTAATTTGAACTGACATGCAAAAGTGGATTTTGTGTAACAAGACAGTTTAAATGGAGATATTACCTCTTGCAGGGATCGCTGGCAGCAATGAGCATGAGAAAGCAATTGTTGAAATGGTGAATGACGGAGTGGAGGATCTGAGAATGAAATACTACAAGTTTTATTTTATAGAGAATGTACGTATACTACACTTACTAATGTGAAATAAACATGACTCTGAAACCAACTCTGCTAAAATATTTTCTCATTATAAATTTTCTATTGCATGTTTTAGCTGAGCACGTTCAATGCAATTGATGGATGGTTATCTCATTTGTGGCTCATGACTGATATGCTGAAAGAAGGTTCAAAAAGGCCAGAAACAGTCGCAGTTATGCCCCATTATTTAAGATTTAAAGTAGAACTAAATTTAGATTTAAAGGGATACATATGGATGCTTTTTTGGTCCGGGAACAAACTGTTTTGGTCTGGACATGATCCGGACATGGTGTGAACAATCAGGGAGCCGGATGGATCTCGACAATATTGACACGTTCTCTCCCAGCTTCAGTGCAGCTCTGCGCTGTCAGCAAATAGTGGGCAGTAATCCATTAGATGTTGACTTCGGGTCACAGAAGTACTTTAGTAAATGTATTTCTGTGACCCAAATGAGGACTGAAGCCAAAAAAGGTTTTGGCTTCAGTTTTCTTTTAGAGTCGATTCATACCAGCTCCTGGAGCGCATCCCGACAGGCTTCCTCCGTTCAGGGGCGGGGAGGGGGCATGGCGATGTATTGAAGTCATTGGCACCACAGACACCAACCCCCCCCCCCTTCCCCCCCATCCGCAGTGCGAACGCCCGCACCATTGACTTCAATGCACTGCCACGCCCCCTCCCGTCCCTGAATGCAGGAAGCCTGCTGGGATGTGCTCCATTGTGTTCCAGCAGCGAATCGTGCTGGAATGCACCGGAGCAGGTGTGAACCGGCCCTTAGTACAGAAGGGTTAGGATGGCCCTGTTTGTGAGAGATTTATGTGGCCAAATTAATCTTTATAGTTGAAAGGGCTTCTCAATCACTCTGTTGAAACAATCCAAGGGCACTCTTGGATATTATCATTTTAGAATAGTAACTTCCTTAGCAAGGTCTGGTCTAGGAAGAAAATCTGGGGTACCATAATAGAGTAAAAGAGCTGTAATAAATATAGGTATATATTATAATTACCATTTGACATCTTCTTACAGGAGGCAAACAAGGATAAATACCTGGAAGAAGTGTCTAAGCAGCTCTGTTATTTTGAGAAAATTCTGTCAAAAAATGGCAATGGAACCAAGTTCCTGGTAGGAGATGGAGTAAGTAAAATCAGTGGCGAAACTGGGGCAAAGACTCAAAGTTGCTCCCCCAGGAAACATTGTCCATCCACACCCCGACCCCCCGCCCCCACCCCACACTTCTGGGCTCTCTTCTTCTGTCGCACCGGTGCCCCTCCTGATCCACCACAGAGGTGAGGCTTCAAATCGCCTCATTGTCCAGTTCTGCATTGTTATTTAAAAAGCCGCTTCTATTTTCTCCCTGCGAGTGTGTGCTTTGTATTATCATCTACCGGGACATGTGCGTTACGCTCTTCTAAACAACTTAGTCACAGTGGCGGACCTAAGGAACTATAGCTGAGGCATATACCACAGTGCAGTACAGAAAACACTGAACCAGTCACAACAGTCTCTGCAGCAAAGGAGCTTACACTCTAATGTCCCCCACAGTCACATGAGTTAGTACAAATACCGATACTTTTCCTCAAGTACTCGCTGAAACCAATTACTGATACCTGTTTTTTTAGTGTCATGTGACAGCTTTTCTAAAACAATACAGTTTAATGATCTTCAAAAAAAATTAAAGTGCCATGCCTCCTCCTGTGATGGCAGACCTATCGTAAGAGGCTACGATCCGGTCCCGGCTCTACCCCCCTCCCCAGCTTTGTGTGGTAGGTCTGCCCCTAGGTGGTTGCTCACCCTGCCGGCAGCACCCTCCTAATGTGGCACCCGGGTACATGTCCCTCATCCCCCCCAGTTTCGGCCCTGAGTATAGTCACAATGGTCAACTGTTTTCAGACATGGCCATAGAACTACAGGTGTCTCTAGCACCAAAGTTGCTCATAAATCCAAACTATTGGCCAGCCTGAGCTGTATATTTAAATGCCAATTTCCAGGGAGTTGGATGTATTTGACACCACAAAGCTTTTAAAGTTGTACCACAATTCTCTCTAAAAATAACATAATATTTGTTATTATTCAGTACTTCTGTTTGGCTGCAAGGCCTAAAGACCATTTTCTATAGTAAATAGATATTGGTTCTCACTGGTGCCAACAACACTTGTTTAGCTGGTCGGAATTAAATTCCAATTGAACCCTCTTGACTTATTATTGTATTGCATTCAGTTACATACACAGTAAGAAATATGCCTCTGTTTCTATGTTTTACCTGTTAAGTGCTGCAGCAGTGGTTAAAAAAACACGTGAGAAGCAACCTAGCTCTCCGACACACCTCCCTGAATAATGCCCAGGCCTACCATCAGAAACTTTGGGGCCTGGGCCCCCTGCCACCACCAACACACCATAGGCCTGTCCACTGGCTGTTCCACCGAGTCCACCCACTGACCCTCCCATCGAGTCTGTCTACCGGGTGCTTCAGTGCACCCACTTTTATTTTAACACTCTTACAGCTTAATATGTAAAATTGAAACTAACACTGACCGCACTCCCTTATCACTAACACTAACCGCACTCCCTTTTCACTAACATTAACTGCACTCCCTTTTCACTAACAATAACCGCCCCTCATCTATCCACTAGCACATCTAAACCTGTACAGGCTCCCAGGTGGGCTGTGTGGGCTCTCAGGTGGACTGCGAGCTCTGTTCAGGCTGTGTGCGCGCTCTACCTCCCCACCCCCATCGTCGGGCTGCTAAAACTGCTAAAACACTTACCTTACCACTTAACCGACTCTGCTCCACTCCCTCAGTCTCACAATATTATTATACATTTATATAGCTCTGACATATACTACAGTGCTGTACAGAGGACACGAAGCCAGCCACATCAGTCTCTGTACCAGAGGAGCTTGCACTCTAATGCAGAATGGCATCTGCTGTAGGGGGGCTACAAATCCCAGCAATACAATATACATCAATGCAAAACAGTATATGAATTGGACTCTGGACTTAGTAACATGCTGGACACGGGACTTAGTAACGCGCTGGACTCGGGACTTAGTAACGCACTGGACTCGGGACTTAGTAACGCACTGGACTCAGAACTTAGTAACGCACTGGACTCTGGACCAACCTGAGACCCCGCACAGCCCACCTGGGACCCCACACATACCTGAGACCCCACACAGTCCACCGGGGTATGACCCTGCAGAGCACACCATAGATCCAGCACAGCCCATCTGAGACTCTCTATGGTGGGCTCTGCAGGTTCTCAGGTGGGCTGGTCGGGGTCTCTTTCCCTGTACCTCCCTCTCAGAAATTCTTAAAGGAGAATTATGACCTAAGGGCAAATAAAAATACCCCTTACCTTGATTGTAGTAGCATTCTTCCTTTTTTCTAAAGGCGCAGCACATCACAGATAAAATCCTCAAAACCTGTAATAAACGGCCATCTTCAGCCCTGATCCAAGCTCCTTTCCTCTTAGGGGGCGTTAACCGTTAATCCAGCCTGCCCACAGCTTTTTTTTCAAATTATCCCATTGCGGTGGCCGAGCTTCCTATTATCGTGCACAGCTGTGTTTTGTCAGCGCGTGCACGCTGGCATTTGTGAGCAGGAGGCGGAGTCTGCAGTGAAAAGACAGAGACTGTAAGAAATAAACGGACTCAGCCTCCCTGCACATCAGTGCTCTTTCCCCTCTCTCATCAGCGATCCCCAGTAATTAGGATGTCAGCATCACACAGGGGGAGAGAGAGAGGGGATAAAGAGCCATCCCTCTCTCCATCATTTACCAGAAATGGGCAAGCCCATATATGGTGAATGATGTCACTGGGTATATCTGCAGACTGGCAAGCATCCGATCAGCAGGGATCCCCAGTGACATCATTCATCATATATGGACTTGCCCATATGTGGTAAATGATGAAGAGAGAGAGGGCTCCTTCCCCTCTCTCTCTCTCTCCCTGCCCTGTGTGACACTGACATACTAAAATCACTGGGGATCGCTGATGAGAGAGGGGAAAGAGGGCTCTCTCTTCAGCATTTACTACAAATGGGCAAGTCCATATATGGTGAATGATGTCACTGGGAATCCCTGCAGACTGGCAAGCATCCAATCAGCAGGGATCTCCAGTGACATAATTCACCATATATGGACTTGCCATATGTGATAAATTATGAAGAGAGAGCTTCTGACCCGGGACAAGATTTTCTCAATGCACTGCACACTACACGTGAAGTAGGCGGGGCAGATGGAGAGGAGGAGGGAGGGGATCAAGGGCTACACAGCAGCGTGTCTGGAAGGCTGGCACAGAGGACGGGGGCGTGCAGGTAGGGAGAGAGCTGCGTGCACAGAGCTGCTGCCCATGTCCATATACTCGTGTACGCGCAGCAGCTCTCAAGAATCGCTGTCAGTCACTGTGTGACGAAGATCAGTGGGGAGGATCCCGGCAGCATTGTCGGGATCTCTCCTCTTTGCGGCGCTTAGCCCCGCCCACCATCTTAAAGAAGGGTTTACAGGCTTAGGGTGCATTTTGGCTAATAGGAGTAAATTACACAATTTACTTATTTAGCCTAAGGAATGCAATAATAAAGAAAAGATAGAACCCCATAGTTCTCCTTTAACTGCTGCTGCTGGGGCACGGCCTCCTCTGCTGCTGGACCAAGGCTGCTGGGGACCAGCCAGAAGTGACACTGTTAGAGATCGTCGTTAGAGATCGTCGTTGGAGATCCGAACACCGGCGGCCAGTGGAGGACCTAAGGAACAAAGGGCCCTGGTGCAAGATTTTTTTCTGGTCCCCCCCCCCCAGACTCTTACAATGCCTGTACTTGAATGCCCGCACTGGCCACCTAAGAGCCCCACTGACCGCCTGAGAGCCCGCACTGGCCACCAGAGAGCAGAAAAACAAACTCAGGGCTCCCACTGATTCTGCAATATGGTGACTTGTATAATAATTTCATTATACTGTATATTACAATGTAAAAATAGAAGAAATAAAGTGTGCAATAAATGCGCTTGTAACATCCCAAAACCATTCCCACTCTCTCCCCTCACATCCAGTGTTAAACCAGTGTTCTGTGGGACATGTTGGACTGCTTGTGTGTGAATATGTGAAAGCCATGGCCCGACGTTCCAATGTACTGGCAGCACTGAGTTTTTCTAACCTTTGCTGCAGCACTTAACTGATAAAATGCTAAAATAAGACTGCTTGAATTATAGGAGTTATTTATGAGGGTATAACTGGCCTGTTGTGTAAATAAATCTCTCTTCTAGATCCCTGACCTTCTGCACTTTTTGCATTTTTTTGTTTTTACAGATTACATATGCGGACTACAACCTTGTGGACACTCTGCAGTGCAATCTAGATCTTTCTCCAACATGTCTTTCTGCTTTTCCACTACTGTCAGCCTACCAGGAGAGAGTACTCAAACGACCGAAACTCAGTGAGTACTTGAAATCTGATGGACGCAAGAGACGCCCTATCACCCCTAAGCACAAGTGAATGTGAAGTTCACAAAACCCTTACCATGCTTTCTAGTATTAGGCCTGCTTTTTATCTGCCCAAGCTGCAATACATAACCTATATGCTATTTTTGGAGAAAACACACCCATTCTTCATAAATGCTCTGTCCCTTCCTGAACTGAGGATCCGGAACTGTCCTGTGAAAAAACATATGAAAATTATTTCAGGCAGCATCAGCTAGTCTACATATTGTGATATCTACAATTTTTTTTTTTGTGAAACTTTCTTATATATACATTGTTATGGAGACATTAAACACATACATGAAATGATATTTTCAGTGTCAGTTATTTTCTTACAAAAAGCACAGCAGCTGTTTTTAGATGGGTGATTTTAAGTTTGAATTAAAGCAAACCATAGATAAGAGAAAATTGTATGCTACTGCTGACCTCCTACTAAAGATGTTTGTTCGTCAGGTTGATCAGGTGGGTTCAAAGCTTTTTATGTCACTGAACAAATTAAGGAGACAGGCAAGGAGTTCTGACTTGGGCCTCAATCACACTTGCAATAAGGGCTGAAAGCAGCAGGAATCCTGTGAATTCCTGCGGCTGGCATGACAGGCGCTGCAGCTGTTTCACGGCCATTGTTATGTAATTGCACATGGAGTAATTGCCTGCAGAAAGTGAAAGATGACACAAACTGTTTGCTGATGGATTCCTGCCTCTGTCAGTCCTAATCGTAGGTGTAAATGAGGCCTTACCACATGTTCGCCATTTATATATATAGAACCATTATTAAATAATGAAAACCAATATTATTAAAAAATGTTGTTTTGGACGTGTGACAAATCCCAGATGGCCCCTACTCCTATTCGTCTTTTCCGTGGCCTTAACATACTCATCATAGCGAAGTGATGAATCTGCATTTTAAAACATGTTCTGCCATTACAGGAACTGGGGAAAGTTGTTCATTTTGAGATGTCACGCATGTATCCCAACATTTCTGTATAAAATACTTTGCCCATTAGCACTTACAACCCTCCATGGGGATCAATAAAAGCAATGTCCAGACTGTAGATATGATGCTGAGAACTTTTAGCCCTCATTCATACGAGTAACAGCTGGCCCTTACAGATCCGTGCTGCGTGCACTGGCATATCGGGCAGCTCCTGGGAAGGACAGGTGCTGCGTGTGATTACATGCAGCAGCCTGTTCTTCTCTATGGGAGTATGCGGCCATACACCGCCCTATGCTCACCCGAGCTGCACGTCCGTGCGGGAGTCCGTATTCGTACACTGACAGGATGGATTGCATACGTGGATGGTGCACGCAGCACATTCACAGCACGAAGAACACCTGGCACAGCAGCACTTGAGGTAGAAGTCACCAGTCATATTCATCCTTGTCATCAGTAGTAACCACTGGGCCTCCAGACTCAAGCCTCAGTGTAAGCACATGGCTTATCCCCGGGCTCATGGCTCCCCCATTTCAGACAGTCCATAACAGCTTCCCCACCTTCAGGGCCAGGGGGAGAAAGAGAGAGCTCACATGGTCCACCTAGGGTTGCCACCCGTACGGTTTTCGCCCGGACAGTACGGGTTTGTAATCCTGTGTACAGTATTTAAATCGGAGCTGTGGCTACCTAAGGAAGCTGCATACCGCTGGCCGTCTGTATTGTGATGGCGGCAGTGCTCAATCTCATCTGCCTGTCTCCTCCTCCTGTGGCATTATCTCCTCCCAGCTCTGACATTACATACTGCAGGTACCGAGGGAGGACCGAGAACGCAGGCACACGCAAGTTTTACAGTTCATGAATGCTGGGGGCTGGGAGAGACAGCGGGTACTGGGACAGACAGTGGGGGCTGGGACAGACAGTGGAGGCTGGGACAGACAGTGGAGGCTGGGACAGACAGTGGGGGCTGGGACAGACAGTGGGGACTGGGACGAATGTGTATTGCATTTCTATTACATGTCACTGAACATTGTTGAGTGATATGCTGTGTGATTGCAATACACATTTTAGTACTTATTTTAATGAGATTTTTTTTTCTTCATATATCCGTGCCGCTCGCTGGCTGATTGAGCCCACCTGAGGGCCGCATAGCTCACCTGAGAGTGCACACAGCCCACCTGAGAGCTGCATAGCCCACCTAAGAGTGCACACAGCCCACCTGAGAGCTACATAGCCCACCTAAGAGCCGCATAGCCCACCTTAGAGTGCGCATAGCCCCCCCCCCAAAAAAAAAATTGCTGCGCGTGGCGCTAGAGTGTTCGGGTTTCACTTGCAGAAAAGGTGGCAACCCTAGGTCCACCACAAGTATTTATCAAATCAACATCAGACTGCTTACAATCTGACAATAACTCAATTTTATAGCACTCCTGTCTACAAGGTGCTACACTGGTATAGACAGACCCGGAGAGACTAAGTGGAGGGGCTACATGACTGGGGGGAGGAATAGTCCCGGGAAAAAGGGTTAACAAATAAATTGGGAATAGCTGCTCTTACCTGATTGGACGTGGGAGTCAGGTGTCCGGGAGGAGCCGCATGGGAAGGGACTGCGAGGGCTGAGGGACGTCCTCTTTCTGGAAAGCGACGAAGGAAGTAGGTTGTCTGTTCTTCCCCCTGCTAGAAAAAGAAGCACACATTTAACATGTGTGACCTGGAGTCCTTATTGGCCCAGGTCAGCGCGGCTGCAGAGCAGAGGGGTCCCCAGTGGCTACAGGAGCAGCTCGTCGAAGCTTTAGGGGGTCCCAGGGAGGTTCCGTCTAGCCCCCCTGTCCCGAAGCGTGCTAGGAGGTCTAGGCCTCCTGAGCGCCTGAGTCCATCTAGCTCCCCCAGGATCCGGCGTCGCTATGGGAGCCCCACCAGGGACCCTCCAGCCCCTCGCCCGCTGCCTCCGGGTCGTGTGTGAGGGCTGGGAGGAATCCCCGCCCCCGACGGGACCCAGGGGGGGTCGGGTTTGCCACACCTGTGCCCGCTCCCCCACCCTGCCTTCACCCGGACCTTATGGCCGCCTGTGCTGCTGATGTGCCGAGCAGAGTGGCGGCCCGGCGTGGGAGGAGTGCTGCTATGGGCGAGAGAGAGGCTGTGTCCCCCTTCGCTCCTCCTGTCTCCCTCGACTGTCGGATCTGGCCTCCCCCGGGGATGTTGCGGAGAGGGGGGGCCATCGAGGCTCGGGACCAGTAAAGGGCGGCGGGAGGGGTGTTCGTTCCCCCGCTGCCCCTGCTCTATCCCTGGACGTGTCTGCGGCCTCCCCCATGGCTGAAGTGC